ATTAGGTTACCACCACTACGGCGAGTATTACGATTACTGCCACTACTTCCGACACTACAATTGCTATTACTACTACTACTAATATGATTTCCCGTTCTACTACTACTACGACTACTACTACTGTTTCTACCACTACTATTGTTACTACTACTAGTACTACTACTACTACTACTACTACTACTACTACGACTACTACTACGGCTGCGAGTACTACTACTACTACTACTACTACCACCACCACCACCACTACCACTACTACTACTACTACTACTACTACTACCACTACTACTACTACTACTACTACTACTACTACTACTACTACTGCTACCACCACCTAGTGTTAATACCCCCACCACTGAGACTGATAGTTTATATTACTACAATCACGACAGTTACTACTACGACTACAGCTACTATTACCCCTGCTACGGCTACCCATAGTCTTATGGGTACTACTACCACTACTACTACTACTACTACTACTACTACTACTACTACTACTACTACTACTACTGCTGGTACTACGACCACGCCCACGACTCTAGTACGACGACGGCTACCATTAATATTGTTACGCTTACTGCTATCAGTACCAGTACTGCTCTCACCACTAGTACTACAACTACTACTCTATGATTACAATTCCTCTTACTACTACTGCGGCTGCTCCACCAAACATACAAGCCACGACGAAAATACAGGGTTCCGCGGCCCAGGGGGCTGCCCTGGGAAGCCTGGGTGGAGGGGGTATCCCAAGGGGGGGTGGCCCAGGGGAGCTGGGGCTCAGGCTCAGGGGGGGAGGGGGGCGAGGCGGACGAACCACCACGAACCACGACGAAAGTACAGATGTCCGAGCTCTATAGCACAGCTGTGCAAGAGAATCAACTGCATGTTGTTTCTAAGGCTCCCAGATGGTGGGAGAGTAGACGGGGTCGGGTCGGAGCATCGCCCTACATGGCCGATGCATCAGAGATGCGGCTCGATACGGATCCCGCTGTTCTCCACGCCGACGTCGCCGATACATCGCGAATACCTCGCCGATGCATCGCCGATATATCGCCGATGCGTCCGCGATGCGGCGCGATCGCCGACCCCATCCACTCGGACCCCGCCCCTGAAACTTCGGAATGGTGCCTGAGGCGTGGATGATCTTACCAAGATGGCAATACGGTAGCGACGTCCGAGCCACGCTAGTGCGAAGGGATTCGGATGAGGAAGGGGAGCATGGGACCAGTGTTGTGTGGGGCGCACCAAACATTTCGCATCGCCAGGACGTGTGTATGTTTTCTCGGCGAAGGCCATCGAAGAACCGACTTGGGCCAGCATGCGAGAGCACACGCGCACGCGCACGAAAGATGCACGGGGAATGGACGACCGAGCGATGCCGGGAACAAGATCATCGAGAGGTCGTGGACGGCGGCGGAAGGCGGGCGGAAACGCGGCGAGCGTGCGACGCCAGGCGAAGGCTGGCGGAAGTACATGCAGACATGCACATAGTCATATACACATACACGCATACACCTACATACATACATACAACCATACATACATACATACACACGTGCATATCTTCATACATACAGACATACAGACAGGCTGACAGGCAGACGTACAACCATACACATATACATTAAAATGCATATAATTGTACATGTACATGCACATGTAGCCTATACACATACATATACATATACATATACGTATGCATACGCGTGCACCTCTGCATGCACGATTACACACCTTTACATGTACATACATACGTGCACAAGCATATCCATACATACCTATGTGTATATACATATACATGTATATATCTATATATATATGTATTCAATTCTATATACGTGTATATATATATATATATATACAGCTATCGTTGTGGTTAGCCTGAGCCGTCGAGGCTGCTCGTCGTTGCAACTCGGCATGACTGTGCTTGCCGCTGTGCTTACCCTGAACCGTCGGAGCTACTCGTCGTCGCCACTCGGCATTATTCCGCTTGTTATTATGGTTTGGCAGGCATCGCTCTTGATCAGGTCGATCCTCTTGAAAAGGAGGTGGTGGAGGTGAGGAGGTGAGATTTGTCCTGGCCAGTCCTCCCTTGAGCATGGCCGAGCGAGGCTGGTAAGGATTATATTTGTAGTATTCAATTATGTTGGAGCGGTTTAGTGATTCGCGTCGTCGTCACGTTTGCTCGCCGTCTGAATTGTAGAATTTGTTCGCGCTGCTTCCGTAGCTGGGTAGCCGCTGGGCCGGGTAGCCGCTGGGAACGGCTCAGACAAAGGGACATGCAGTGTAGAATCAGTCGGAAGCGAAAGCTGCGCGATCCCCCCCACCCCATTTACAGTGACCCCATATGGGAGCCCTCTGATGGAGGAGGAAGGGAGGATGTTCGAGGAGGAGGACCTCGACGAGGAGGGGAAGAGGCCCGCGGATGCCACTTCGGCCAGGCAGCTGGATCCGTGCGGCAGCGTGTGGACGTGCGAGAACGGGCGCCGCACCGTGCTGCACGCGGCGGGCCGCCCCTCCCTCTCGCCACCCCCCCGGTGCCCCAGCAGCGGCAGCGGCGGCCACGACGGCGGCCACGGCGGCGCACCCTGGCAGCGGCGGCGGCCGCGGCACTCAAGCAGTGGCGAAGCGTCCTGGCGTGCCTATAGGCCTACCAAAGAACGTTCTAAGTAACTTTCGTGGTTTCCACGAAAGGTTCTTAGAACATTTCTGTCCGGGACTGTCTTGTGTTAACACATCAGGTTTAGGTTCGAAGGGCATTGCTTATGGGGTTATGAGAACATTTCGTGGCAGGACAAAAGGAATTCCGGGACGGCCGGTCCCTGCTCAAGGCACCAGTGGCGGAAGAGGCGGCAACCTTCTGGAGCAGGAGCGGGGGGACAGGGATTTCGTGTTCTTCTAGTTGTTGGTCCTGGTGCTTGCAGCCTGTTCCGCCCCCTCGTCCTGTCTCACTCGTCGCGGTTGTTTCACACATCGCCATTCCCCCCCTTCCGTTTCGTTCTCATCACTCCTCATCCCCTTTGTGTTCCTCTTCCGGTTCCTCCCTCCTTGTCCTCTTCGCTCGCCCTGCTCCCTCTATCCTCGACCTCCTCGTGCCCAACCTGCGGTGGATTGACGCAGCGTCGCCTCGTGGCCTCGTCCTTCGACGGGCCCTGTGCCCAGTGCGCCGTCGAAGCCCCCCGGCACGCCGCGCCGAGCGCGCCGCGCCGCGGGCCAGAGCGCTGGGCGTCCCGAGGCGTGCGGCTCCGCATGTCCGAGGGAAGCGGCGGCAGCGACTGGAGCGGGGCGAGAAGGAAGGGGGGGGGGGGGGGCAGAGTTCGTTTCGATGCCTCCGATCCGATTCGATTCGGGGTCGGCGGCTTCCGCTTCCGATGGGCTTCGGCTTCGGATTCCGCTCTGGGCTCCGATGTGTCCATGGGGGCCTTACTAGTTTAGTTCCCCGATTCCTGCCGATTCTACCGATTCGGCTGCCGATTTCCGCCGATTTGATTTTGTTCGATCGCCGATCCGACATCGATTCGAGTCTGGGCTCTCCTGAGGGGAAGGCGTCAGGAGGAGCGGGATCATGACCATTAAAGAACACATGGCATACACACACACACGTTCGGGAGTCCGCGCTTTCTTGATCTTTTGGAACGGCGCCGGGCCCCCTGGCGCCGCCCCTGGCGCGCTCCGCGAGTCAGGGAGGAAGGGCTCGGCGCCGATCCGAGAAGTCCGCGCGGAGCTCCGAAAGCTTATGTTCATGCAGCGGTTCTGCCTCTCAGGGAAGCAGGAGAAGGGGACCGGGAGGGCCTGGTCCTGGGGAGGGGGGGCGGCCCGTCCTCCTGCTCCGGGCCTCTCTTACGGGGCCACCCCGGAGATCGGTCCTTGAGCTGCGGGGTATGCCCCCTGCCGGCCCTAGTGGGAAAGCAGGGCTGCTGCACGCACAACAAATCGCAGGGGATCTTGGCAACAGCGCGCAGATCGCCCGAGTACCTGCTCAGACGTTGTACCCTCTTTATGCGGACGTCCTTGTCCTTGTCCTCCTCCTCCTCCTTCTCCTCCTCCTCCTCCTCCTCCTCCTCCTCCTCCCCCTCCTCCTCCCCCTCCTCACTCCTCACTCCTCCTCACTCTTCACTCCTCACTCCTCACTCCTCCTCCTGGTGTTGCTCCCTCTCCCTCGCGCGCTCTGCAGCGCGGGAGCGCCACCGCGCGCAGAGGAGCCAGCGGGACGCACGCAATGTCAGGTGTGAGCGCGTCTGGGGCTTGGGGGGCCCCAGGGCTGGAGGGCTCGCGCCCGGGGGCTTCTCGGGTTGGCCCAGGGCCGCCCGGGATCCGCGGAGCCATCAGTCCAGGAGGCATCAAGGAGAAGGTCGAGGAGGAGGAGGAGGAGGCGGAGGAGGAGGGGGAGGAGGGGAGGAGGAGAAGGTCGAGGAGGAGGAGGAGGAGGAGGAGGAGGAGGGCAGCGGAAGCAGGAGGAGGTGGAGAAGGAGCCTTCGTGGGCATGAATTCAGGGACCGTCCGAGGGCCTCCCCGGGGCCATGTTTGGTCCTTCTGGAACAGCCGGTGCACTGGATGTCGGCGGCAGAGGTATTCCGCGACGCGCTGCGGCCGCCACGCCTCCTGTCGCAGCTTGATGTTCGGCGACGGCGCCGCGCTACAATGTCGCAATTCGAGGAACAGTGGATCGTTCGAAAGTGTCCCGTCTGGCGACTCCGCGACGAGGCAATGCTTGCTCTCGACAATTTCCTCGAGAGGAGAGTTGACCAAACGCATTCAACAGAAATGTGTAAGCAGAAGTCAAATGCATGCTCACAGCATGGGCTGGCTCTTCTTGGGTGGTAGACATAGTTTGCCAGCGTAGACCCGCAATTGTGAGTTCGTACACCGTGGGTGTGGAGGCTATGTGGTGGAGGCGATGTGGTGCAAGCTATACGTACGGCACCCCATGCGGTGCAAGTTGCGCGTGATGCAAGCAAGCTGTGTGGTGAAAGCTATGTGTCGGGCCGGGCGAAAGGGGGGGATTGGGAAAGGGGGGGTTACGAAATCTGCTGCATGCAGCTGGTTTCGGCCTCACCGAGGGGCCCCTTCCTCGATACATGGGCGCCTCCAGGCGCCGGGAGGCGCCGGCAGAATCAGCTCCGTGAGCTGATTCTCCCCCCCCCTTTGCTATCCCCCCCTTTCGCCCGACCCGAATGTGGTGCAAGCCAGGTGGTGAAAGCTGCATGTCAGAGCCCCGAATCATCAGGGGTAACTCGGGTCAGGGATAACTCGGGTTCCTTTTTCGGGAATCCGAACCCGAGTTACCCCGGACCCGAGTTACCCCGGATAAATCGGGCGTCCAAGAGCCCCGAATCATCAGGGGTAACTCGGGTCAGGGATAACTCGGGTTCCTTTTTCGGGAATCCAAGCCCGAGTTACCCCGGACCCGAGTTACCCCGGATAACTCGGGCGCCCAAGTGTGTGGTGCGGGGCGCCCACGAGGCACCCACCAGGCGCAACCTCCGCAGGCCAGGCCGGCGCACGGGGCGCCCACGAGGCCGCGCCCACGGCCGCCCCCCCAGACTTCAGGAGGAGAAAAAACACACAGACACAATTAATCGTCCACTCCCAGGAAAATATGGGAAAATATGGGAAGTGGGGGGAAGACAGAAACCCAGAAAATATGAGAAAATATGGGGGGTATTTTTATTTGTGTGTATTTATTTGTGTGTCCCAGGGCCCCTTCAAGACTGCCGCGGACCCAGCGGCCAGCGCACGCGACGCCCACGAGGCGACCTATAAAACGACGCGAAGATCGGGACAGAATCGGATCGGGATAGCTCGAAGTCTCTGAGAGTCGGCGGGTTTGGAGGACGTATTGGGCGCCGCGGCCGCTCCAGAGCGTTGCGGGACGCTCTGAGCGCGCTCCGGAACGCTCTGGAGCGATTTGTCCCGATCCTAGCCCTGTTTTAGCCTACCAGGCGAAACCTCGGCAGACCCATCCAATCCGTTCAGGATGGAGAGCCCCCAAGGGCAAGCACTGTTTGGGGAGAGAGAAGACATGTCACGGCGCAGAATCCATTCAATGGTTCGTGCCGTCATGGCAGCGGTGCTCCGCGCCCGTCAATCGCGGGGCGGCATGTTGCTGCAATGTCGAAAACCGTAGTCTGAAAATTGTGATTCAATGGTTGCGTCATGTAACTTGGGTGGCGCCTATTTCAACGAGATAACTAGTTTCTTTAAATGGGGTCAGCCCTAGCCCCCAGGTTGCTTGCAGTGTTTACTCATGTAGTATGTGTCTTCATCCGGGCAATATGTGGATCATGAGTGGAGTTTAATGTGGGCGGGCAATTCGCGTTTCATGTCCGATAGGGGATCGGTAGACGGCTCTAGTGACGTTGTTGACGGGGTACAGGTGTGGGGAAGGAAGGGTAAATGGATTGGGGGAAGGGGAGGGAGAAGGAGGGCGGTGAGACGAGGGGGAAAGGGAAGACTAGGGGAAGTAGACCGCGGGAAGGGCGACGCGGATAAGGAGCGCGACGTGAATTTTGTTTCGCGAGCAACCGATTCGTCAACAAGATTGTCAATTTGCCTCACCTGCTCCGGCCTGAGTGAATTGCTGAGCTCGTTATGAGTATCTTGTTTACCTCTTTCTATCGAAGACGCCTACGGCGAACCTCCGCCGCCCACTGCCTTTTGGAATCGCCCATGTGGCCGAGCGTTATGGCAAGAGCTCTGCCAAGCTATCGGACCATGTGTTCCCCCAGCCGTTGTGGAAACCCCTTGGGAAACACTTGGGGACGATAGCCGGGAAGAGCAGGAGGAGGAGGACGAGGAGGAGGAGTGGCATCCTTGGAGCCTCTGTGGGCATGCCTGGGGCCTCCTGGGAGCTTCCTGCGAGCATCTTGGAGGCATCTTTGCGGCCTCCTTGGGCCTTTGGGGGCTTCTCGGGGGCCTATTTGCCCGTCTTAGGGCGTTCCTGGCCCGTCTGACGCCGTCGGAAGCCGTTTGGGGGGCCTGTCTGGGCCGATTTGGAGCCCTTTTGGGGTGCTCCAGGGCAGTCTTGGAGGCCATCTTGGGCGTCTTGGAGACCTCTTGGGCAGTCTTGGGACCCTCATGGGACCGTCTTGAGGGCCTCCTGGGCCGTTCTGGGGCCATCTTGGAGGCCTCTTGGGGCGGTCTCGGGGGCCTCTGAGGCCGTCTTGGACCGTCCGAAGGCCGAGAAGAAGCAAATGCCAGAATCCTTCAAAAACCGACGCACTATCAATGAATTTCGCCTCTTCGGGCCTTCCTGGAGGACCTCTCCCAGGCCTCTTGGGCCGTCTTGGAGGCTTCTTGGGCAAATTTGGAGGCATACTGGACGCTACTGGACGCTCTTGGGCCGCCGTGGAGGCCATCTCGGACCATCTTGGGCGAACTTGAAGGCCATCTTGCCCGTCTTGGATATCATCTTGGATCTTGGAGCCATCTGGAGCGGGAAAAACGTTGGTCACCACCTCTCTCTGGCAAGCCTTCCAGGTGGCCGGCGCGCTGGGCCGAACCCCCCGAGGGAGGCCGAGCCCCCAGAGGGAGTTCGGTGGGAAAAGAGCCCAAACCAAAAACGGTAGGGTATTAGCACGCCAGGCACCCGTGTGGCAAGCCAACAGGGGGCGGCGGATCCAAGACGCCTACGGCGAAGTTCCGCCGCCCACTGCCTTTTGGAGTCGCCCATGTGGCCGAGTGTTGTGGCAAGAGCTCTGCCAAGCTATCGGACCATGTGTTCCCCCAGCCGTTGTGGAAACCCCTCGGGGAACACTTGGGGGACGATGGCTGGGAAGATCAGGAGGCGCCTCCCTCGCCCCGCGCCCCGCCTCACTAATGGACGGGGACCGGCCTTCCTTCTTCCTCCCTCCTCCGCGCAGTCGGCCGGATGTTTCCAGAGATTTCTCTCGGAACAGTTGGCCGACGTCGACGATGACAAAGTTGATGTTCTTGTCGGTGATGATGATGATGATGATGATGATGATGATGATGATGGTGATGATGATGATGATGGTGATGGTGATGGTGATGGTGATGGTGATGGTGATGGTGATGGTGATGGTGATGATGATGTTGATGATAATGTTGGGATGATGATAAGAACGAGGATGAGGATGAGGAACGATTCGTTAAAATGATGATAACGTGTACGACGGCGATGATCATGACGATGATGCCGATGATGGCTACGGTGATGGTGATCGTGATGGTGATGGTGATGGTGATGGTGATGATGAGTGTGATGATGATGGTGATGATGAGAACGCTGATGGGTACGATGATAAGTATGAGTATCATACGACGACGATGACGGTGATGATGAGGACGACGTCGACGGTGATGACGCCATCGATTACGCTGTTGATCATGATGCCGATGCGGTTGTCGATGATGATGATGATGATAGCGATGGTGATGGTTATGGTGCCGGTGATGAAGAAGATGATGACGCTGCTGGTGATGATGAGTGTGGTGATGATGATGCTGATGATGTTGATGATGATGATGATGATGATGATGATGATCGAAACGAGCATGATGACGACGATGACGCGCGCGGTCGTCGGCGTCTCCTCTCCGTCCAGGGCAGTCGCCCAGATGTTTCTGGAGGCCTCTTTGGGAACATCCTGGCGACAGCGACGGCGACGGCGGTGACGACGACCAGGTCATGGTGATGATAATGTCCATGGTGTTTATGACGATGTTGATGCCGATGACGCCGTCAATTTTGAAGATGCTGGTGATGAGGGAAAAGAGGATGATGACGATGCCGAGATTGCCGATGATGACTATGATGGTGACGGTTGTGATCATGACGATGATGATTCTGATTCCTCCCGCTCCTCGATCCGATGGCCGCACTTGCTTTTACAACCGTCCCCCAGCCTGCTCCAGACCTTGAGCGCGCGCGAAGTTCGCGCGATGATTCTATTGTATGTCTATACATATGCATATACATATACATTTGCAGACACGTACATACATACACGCAGACATGTATACATAACATCAACTGCACCATTCGCGGCATTGCCCTGGTCAGAGTCTGGTTGCGAAGGGCTCATTTCCTCATTATCTTGGGCCACCATCTTCTCTGCCCGCTGTGGGCACAAGCGGAACACCACGTTGTTTTGTCGGTTGTCTATTTGATTCGTGATCGCGTCGGTTCGAAAGGCCGTGCCACACGCTATTTGCAGTTCCCCCCTCTCGCATCTCTTGTGCCCTCTTCCACCTTTCACTTTCCATCCCTCTCCTCCCGCCGTTCCCCTCCCGCATCTCCCCTGCACCTCCACCAGCTCCTTCCCCCCCTTCTTCTCTTCCCCCTCCTCCCCCTCTCTCTTCTTCCTCCTTCTCTTCCTCCCCCAGCCACCTCTCTTCCGCTTCGTCTTCGCACGGATACGTTCCGCGCGGGGAGAGAGCGCGTTTCACGGGCGTTTGCCTTGGGAACATTCGCCGTCGCGTTTCGAACCGGGGGGGGGGTTCCCCCCCCCAACACTCGGCGCCGTCGATCAGAACCAGGTGGACTCCCCTCCCCCTCCCTCCCGAACCCCCCCCTCCACCTCCCACGGGGGAGAGGGGGTTTTGAAACCCCCCTCCCCCCCCTGGTGCCGGCACCAGCGCTGGCGGCCGCCGCAGCGCCAACGCAACGACGATGACCAGAGAGGGCCCAGGAAGGGGGGGTGGATGGTTCAAACCCCCCGCCCCTTGCGCCGGCGCCGGCGCTGGCGGCGACCAGCAGCGCCGACGGCGGTAACGCAGCGACGATGACCAGAGAAGGTCCAGAGGCCGCAGAGGGAACAGACAAATCGTCACATCGAGCCCTCGCATGCTCCGCAGACGCCCACGAGACCGTTTTGACGAGACCTCAAGAGGCATCCATTAGAACTCTGACCCACAGCCAAAACACAGTGGCGGGAATAGCCGAAGGCCACACCACAACCACCACCACCACAGACCATCAGACCACTACCACCACGACCGCCGCCGCAACCACCACCACAACCGCCACAACCCACCATCACCACAACCACCACCATCACCACAAACCACCTCACCACCACCAGCACCACCACCGCCACCAAAAACGCCACCACCACCACCACCACCACAACCCACCACCACAACCCACCACAACCCACCACAACCCACCACCACCACCACCACCACAAACCACCACACCATTACCACCACCATCGCCACCACCGCCACCACCACCACCATCACCACAAACCACCACCACCACCACAAACCACCACACCACCACAACCATCACCACCACCACCACCCACCACCCACCACCCACCACCACCACCACCAGCACCGCACCACAACCACCACCACCACCACATCATACCACTACCACCACGACCGCCACCACAACCACCACCACAACCGCCACAACCCACCATCACCACAACCACCACCATCACCACAAACCATCTCACCACCACCAGCAGCATCACCACCACCAAAAACGCCACCACCACAACCCACCACAACCCAGCAGAACCCACCACAACACACCACAACCACCACCACCACAAACCACCACACCATTACCACAACCATCGCCACCACCACGACCACCACCACCATTATCACAAACCACCACCAACACCACCACAAACCACCACACCACCACAACCACCACCACCACCACCCACCACCCACCACCCACCACCACAACCAGCACCACCACCAGAAACACCACCACCACCAACAACAACACAGGCCACCACCACCACCACCACAAACCACCACGCCAGCACCACCGCCACCACCACGACCACCGCCATCACCACCCCAACCCACCACCACCACCACCACCAAACCACCACACAACCACCACCACCACAGCCACCACCACCACCACAACAGCTCACCACCGCCACCACCACCACCCATACAAGAACCCACCTCCGCTACCACCACCACCACCACAATCTACCACACCACCACCACCACCAGCACCGGCACAACCACCACCACTACCACCAGCAGAGCAACCCACCACCACCACCACAACCACCACAAACCACCTCACCACCACCACCACCGCCACTACCACCACCACCAGCACCCCCGCCGCCGCCGCCAGCCGCCGCCGACGCCGGCACCGGCCTGAGGAGAGGGAGAGAGGAGAAGTAGGGGGAGGGGGGGTGGTTCGACCCCCCCCATCCATCCAAGGGGGGGGTCCAGTTCCAACCCCCCCACTCCAAGCGACGACAGAGCGCGCTCTTTCCGCGCGGGCCATACGGTAAAAAATACCCCGCATCCGCGGGGTAGCGCCCCAGGGGCCTGGCTTGCGAGGCCGCGGATACAGATATGTTTGTCGCCCACGAGAGAAGGTCCGCCCCTTCTGCCTTCCCCTGCGACGCGCCGCCGAGTCTTCTCGCCCCCAGTCGGACAAGCGAGGTGGCCTACGACGTGTGCCAGTACTGCTTCGCGCTGCACGCCCACGGCGTTGAGATTCCCGCGGACAACGGCAGAGGCCCTACCGTCGTCAGTCTTCATGGCTCCCCATCTTCAGTAAATCCCCATTGGGCCCTCGACTCTCCTGCACCTGTTTCCAAGCCCAAGGTTTGACCGTAAATCATGTGATTGCGCCGACCGAGAACCTAAGCGCGCAAAGCGCGCGCGTGGTATTAATGATTATTCGTATTAAATAGTCATTCCCAAAAAATGTATGGATCAATTGGTTTTTTCCACACGCGAAACATTGGATCCGCGTGAGACAGGAATGGGATCCACGACATTGTCGCACACCAGAAAAAATAAGATCCAAGTGGATCCATCGGTGATCTCATATTTGAGACCAACAAGAAAAGCGTTCGGTCTGGGGAGGTAGGCAGGTTTTGTGAACATGGCAGCGGCTGCCTGGCAGCTGCTGATACACAGCCTTGCGATTATTCACGGTTCGCGTTTCCTTGGCAGCCCTTTTTCAGACAGCCCATGAGAGCCGACCAGGAACGGGAGGAAAGGACACTTATTGTGAAACGAAAAGGGCAGGGAGAGGAGGGGTGAGGACCGTGACGTGCCGTACCGTGCCATCCGTGATGTTTTTGTTGGAGCATCGGAGGCAGGAGGACGACAACGAGGATAAGATGTTGTTGAACCATTTTGTGGTCTTCTTGGGTCACAATTGAGGTCTTGTCTGGGTATGTTTTGTGTTATCCCCGGGCCCTCATGGAGCTCTTTCGGAACGCCGTGGGGTCCTTAAAGGGTTCTGTCAAGGTGTGTTGGGGATTTTTTGGAGCATTCTCGGAGGCCTTGTAAGGCATTTAGAGGGCCACCTTGTAGAGCGCGTCTATCAAAGGAGGTGTGGACCTCAGATCCCCCCCTGGGGCCATCAAAATCGCCTCTCTGGGACGCTCTTGCTGCGATATTGTGCGTTATTGGGGCTGTTTGGGGGCCCGGTTGGGCCCCTGTTGAAGCTCTTGTGGGTCATGTTGGGGCTTCTCCGCGAATAGATCGTGCATCGGCAAGCAGGCCTGGGATCTGGAGCTCGCGAACCCGTTCACTTGCACCGGTTTCATGGAGACGCACGCGGGCGCCTCGAGCCTGGCTCAGTGGGGCGACAAGGCGCGAGCGAGGCCCCGAGCGAAACCCTTGAGGCCCACAGGTCGCGGGAAGGCCGAGTCAGGACAGCGCCAGAGGGCCAGCGAGGGCAGCGAGTGTCTGCTGGCCCGGGCATCGGAGCGCGCGGCGCGCCTGGCGGAGTCGCGGCGTTCGCAGAGTGCTGGCGGCCATGACGCGCTAGACGCAAGCTAGAGTCATCGATGCGCAGGGGGCACCACATGTTGCGATTCGTTTCTGTGGATTCTCCTGTGAAGGATGGTACGGGAGGAACCTGCAGAGATTTCTCAGGCTCGGGTTGCTCCGGGTCAGCCTTCAACTCCCCGGCGGGGTCTTCTTGAAAATTTGAACAGCCCACACCTTGCCGGCGCGAGGTTCCATAGTCGCGGCCCAGCGCCGCATGTCGAAGGCGTCGAACACATCCGCGACGCGCGCTGCAAGTGCGCTGGGTTCGACGATTTACTAAGTAAGAGATTGCCACTACACGCGCGAACTATGCGGGGCAAGTGTTGGTGGCACGCAGTGAGTCGTCAGCTCCTCTGTTCGCGAAACCATCCCAGCCGCCCAGCCACAATTAAGTTTGCAGACCCATGCGGCGGCGATTGCGATGACTGCTCGGCGATGGCTGGCGCATCGACGCGGCCGCGTTCGCGCGCGCAGGATCGCGCGCGAAGCGGCCCGCTAGCCTGACGCGACCCACGCTGCCGCGACGGCGCTGACCGATGGGGATTCCCCAACGCGTCTCCAGGCAGCGCAGACGCGCGGGCACGTCAGTGCGACTCGGTGATTCGGGCGGGCACGGTATCATGGCCACACCAACAGCGGCGGACACAATGATGCGACTAGCGATGTTGATAACGACGACGGCGATGACGAAAGCCAGTGACGGCGCCGATGCTGGTCACGCCGATGGTGATGGTGGTGTCCACGCGTCGGCGATGAAGGTTCTGGAATGATTTCGAGATGCGCGCGCGGCCGACGAGCGCGAGCGCCCCGTATGCTGCGATTTGACCAGGATCGTGCCCCTCTCCCCCCCTTTTTCCCTGGCAAGCGCGCAAGGGCGCCCGAATGATTTCGACAGGCGCACCCGCACGGACGTTCAAATGAATTTGATGTGTAACGTCAAAAACGCAGGGTTTTCTCTGAATTCGCAAGGGCACGCATATTTTGTGTGATAAGATATGTTGCGCGCCCATTGGCTTGTGTAGGTGTTCGGGGAAGTCGATTTTGAAACCCGCACGAACACGACAGTGTTCGATACATTTCTCCATGCGCGCCCTGCGACGCGCGCGAGTGGATTTTGTCATAGTTTTTTACAAAACAGGGTGATTGGACATTGATTGTTGTTGATGAACCAGTGCTCGCGCATCGGATCTTTCGACAGAGCTGAAAGGGGGTCTCGGTAAAGGTATAGGCTAGGATGGTACGGCGTCAATTTTTTAACGAACGATGGGCCAGAATTGGATGCAGACTGTTGGTAGCCCCGGGAGGGGGTAGATCATGTCTTTTACAACGTATTATTCATTTGTACATGTATGTATACATGTAGGTGTTCACATATGTATATATATGAATATATATATATATATATATATATATATACATATATATATAGGTCATATATGTATATATAACTCATAGATGGTGCATGTGCTGCGACGAAGCGGCGACGGGGCGGCGACGGAAGCAACATAACCGCCAGACCGGCAAACAGGCCCAGACGGGCGGCGACGAGGCGGCGAGGGGGCGGCGATGGCGGCAACATAGCCGCCAGACTTGCAAACAGGCCCAAACAACGGACGGCGACGAGGCGGCGACGCGGCGGTGACGGCGGGAACGTAGCCGCCAGGCTGGCAGACAGGCCAGTTCCTTAGAGGAAACCCCGAGTGTGCACGCACAATTTGGGGAAGCATCGCTGTCCGTATATCTGGTTACATTTGGTGGGGATCAATGATGTTGGGGTTTTCGGGGGCCTTTTAGGCCATCTTGGAGCAACGTTGGACCGCCCATGTGGTTATAGTCCAGTTCCGAGACGTCTGGGGCCGCCTTTGGGTTCCTTTAGGACGCTCTTGGGTTTCCACTCGGGCGCTCGGACGCGCCCAGGAGTTCCGGCACCCGCGACCCAAAATCACCAAGGATTTGGTTGGACTTGTCCAGGGCAAGTGTCTTCCGAGGACCCCAAGGCGCCGCCCCGCTCGCGAGCAAACGAGAAGTGTCGAAATTACTTGAGTTGTCCACAGGAGATAATCATGGTATTGGCCAGTCGTGCCGGCGAATTCGTCTTCCGTATCCCTCGTCATTTTCTTCTTCCGCGCCCGCGTCCGTTGCATACGCATTCTCCTCTCGGGGTGGGGGAGAAACGGACGGGAAATACCGGGAACGCTTTGCTAGATGACCGTGTGATTTGTTGTCGTTTTTTCGCATCTGATGATTGCACAGCCGATGTTGCTTCGCCACTCGCCAGGTTGCACACCCAACTCCTCTTCCGAACAACCCCGAGCGCATGAGTCCCAGCTTGAACCGCCGGGCCTGCCATCGCACACGGCACGACGCGTCCGACAAGGAGAGAGAGAGAGAGAGAGAGAAAGAGAGAGAGAGAGAGAAGGGTAGAGGAGGGGGTGAAAGAGGGGGATTGAATCATATTCCTACTGCTCCTGCAGCTGCCTGCGCCGCGGGTCACCGCAATCCGCGTGTCGCGCCGCGCGGAGCGCCGTCGTCTGCGAACCCCTGCGGGCGGCCTGGCTGCATCCCCGCCGTCTTTCTGGGCGGACGCCGTCGAAGACATTCACGGAGGACGCCTCGGTCCACAGAGACAGGGAGAGAGGGAGAGATAGAGAGAGCAAACTAACGAACATCAGCAAACAAAGCAGAGGAGGGGTAACGGGTGTTAAGGGCTCGGGGCACGGGAGCACAAGGTGGTGAGACAGGGGCCAGGGCAGAATCGATGGTCGTCGGGCGCAGGTCTTCCATCGTTCCCCTTACAGATCACACCTCCCTGTCCCACCATCAGCAGACGTGTCGTCAGGGCGGGCGGGGCGTCTTGCTTGAGATTTGGTCAACACTGGTGATGCCGAAGCTTGGAAGACCCGGCTGCTGCACGGACGGAGCACGGGTCGTTTTCGAAATGGGGTTCTGACGCTGCCGCCGCGCACGCTGGTCTTTTTGGACACGTAGTGGCTTCCAGCCCACCCCCGCCACTATGCATTGGGTTGTGGGCCACGGGCCTCTCGGATGCATATCAGAGCCTCTTGGGATGCCTCTTGGAGGCCCTTTTTTGGGGGCGCCTCGCGGGCCTCCGGGGAGTTCGTGGGGCCCTCTCTGGGCGGAGGGTTTCAAAAATGCCAGCAGGAAGTGCATTTGGCACCCAAAACACCGCCGATGCTGCCGAATCCCACATGCCCTCTGCGCGTCGGTGGTTTTAAGGAGGTCGTCTTCACTGCTCGATCTAGCACAGCGCTTGGGCAGAAGCGAGTTCGTGAAGACACCCTGGTCCGCGCCCAGACGTCCGAAATCAAACCAGCCTTGAGCTTATGCGGTCTCGGGCCAGGGTCTGAAGCGCAAGTGTCGAGCACACCGAAGACGCAGGGTATGCAGCCTGTCCCCCACCTTGCGTTCGTGTTCCCCTCTTCGGGGTGGTCTTGGGGGCCTCTTGGACTCTTCCCGGGGACCTCCTGGGCGGTACTGGGGCTCTCTTGAGCAATCTTGGGGCTGCATGGGGACCTTTTTGGGCCGACCTGGAGCTTCGGAAGCCTGAAAAAGGCGAGAACAGTAAAATTCTGCAAAACCTATGGGACATCAACGTTGATGGCGGCCCGCTTGTGGCATCTTGGGGTCCCTTTGGGCCGTCAGTAGACCATCTTGAGCGTCTCGGGGTACTGTCAGACCGTCTTGGTGGCCCCTTGGGTCCCCTTCCCCCAGTCTAAGCACTCCCTGGCCTCCAGAAAAGTCACACGGGAAGCCCCAAGAGGTTTGCCGGAGCACGCCGCAGACCTCAGAGAATCCGGCAAGTCGGGTCTTGGGCTCCATAATGTTCGATTCTTCAGGGTTGCGGATTCAATATTTGACCGAGCGCGTTCCATTACTGGAAAATTTTCTATTCGCAAACGTCCGAAAACTGTTGTCTGCCTCGGTGTCATATACCGTAATCCCCCCAGGCGATTTGCGAGTAGTTACTCTTCGAGTAATGGAGCGCGCCTGTGTAGGATTGCAAGCACCTGAGGACACTGCAACTCGTGCATCCAGCAAAAGATGCGGCACAGGCCACAGGCCGTCTCCAAAACAGGGCTCTCGCCTTGTCGCTGCGCAAACCGCCATACGGCATTCCAACACGTACGCACATGGAGCGCGGACGGTTGCCATTGGGCTCTCGCATTTGCACCTTGCACCAGATGAAGAGCAGTTTCTTTTCAAATGGTGGCATTGCTGGTTTTTCTCAAAGGATGGCTTGGCGCTCAAAAGTTTGCAGCAGCTACGTGGATAGAGGCCAGTTCATGTTTTGAATGGGGATCTCGTTCGAGGTTTCCCAGTTTTGTAATCCGGATTCGGAGGCATGGCACAAATTTGTCAAAAGGGAATTCTCGTGAGACGTTGCTGAATTATGTGGTCATCCATACATCTTTGCATATCCAGTCGCACTGGCACTCGATTCCGCCACCGCGCTGGGGTGCCTTGGGGGGTGGATGGGCGGCGGGTCCATGGAACCCCTTTTTCCCAGGCTGTGTATGTGGGACCATTTTCTGCCTGGAGGGCCGAAAACGCATGGACTTGGTCACAGATTTACGCACCTTGGGCTTGGTGCGTAGGACGCCGACGTGCTACGCGCAAGAAGCGACAGGGCCCAACTGAAACTGCGAAACGCTCACACGTATGAACGGCACATATTTGTCAAAAGCGGAGTTATCGCAGGACGCTTCTGGAGTGTATGGAGGAATATCCGTGTGGGTTTCGGAGGAGGGTAATTGGGAAGGCGAGGTCTTGGTTTGGGGTTACATACTCATGCTATGTCTCTCTCTCTCTCTCTCTCTCTTTCTCTCTATGTATGTATGTGTGTGTGTCTCATCCTCCTTCTCCTCATCCTCCTCATTCTCCTCCTCTTCCTGCTTCATCTCATGTCCCCTGGGGGACGCCCCAAGCAGGCCCTTGCTAAGTGCAAGGAGCCCACATCCACATTCCTCGCAGAAGCGTAGTTGTCTTGCCCACGGCGGGGCCCCGCCTCCGATGCGTTTATCCTTATCCTTATCCTTCACCTCCTCAGTCGTCCCTCCTCCCTCTCGCCCCTCCTCCTCCTCTTGGCCCCTCCTCCTCCTCGCAGTCGTCCCCTTTTCTCAGCATCCTTCTCCCCGAGGTGGAGCCCACAGCGACTCGTACTCGGGCTCTTCGAACGCGTCCGAGGAGGGCACCAGCACCGCCCGCTTTTCCTCGTTCGCCCAGCCTGCTCTTCCCTTCCAGCCCCTCGGTGGCGCTCGACGTGGTTGTTTCGGCTGTTTCTGTTTGTGGTCGTGTGCCCCATCGTACTACGTCATGTCTGTGCTGGCTTCTCGGGATCACTACGTCATGCGCGCCGTGGTTCGCCGGATTGTTTTTTTGTTTTGGTACACGGTTCTTGAGCTGGGCGTTGTTGAGGCTCGGGTGCAGTGTTTTCTTATGGTTGTCTTCGTGACGTTCCCCTCGGGTTTCGCGGTGGCGGCGCTGATTTGGCTTGACCAGAGGCGAATTGCATGTATGGTTGATGAGACAGAAGAATCAGCTGCATTATCCTGGCCCTTGTCCTTACCATCATCCGTCCATTTTACTCCTGACCCTCCACCTCCGCGTCATCCGTTGTGTCATGATCCTGTTCCTTCTCATTGTTTGCTTCTCTATCCCTCATGACCACCATCATCATCATCATTATCGTCCATTCCCAAAAACCTCCAAAACACTCCAGAAATCGCCTGAGCACTTCCGATAACCCCCGGCGGTTTTCGGAAACCGCGAGGCCCATCGAATACCTCCGATGATATTCGGGAGACGTCGAACTCCGCCGACAGCATGCCGAACATCTTCTTTTCGTCACGCTTCCGGACAATACCCCCGCGGTTGCCAAGTGCACGCCAGAGCTCATGGACCCTTTGCAACGACGAGAACCAGGAAGAGGGTGATCATGTTGCTGTCAGGGTGACGACGATGACAAGCAGGACACGAACGAGAAGGAGGAGGAGGAATCACTCCGTGAAGCAACAAGGAGAACCAAGAGGAGGAGAAGACGTAATGCGAGAAAGAAGAGGAGGATTCGGAAGGCCGTGTGAGGGAACTCCATCCCCCGCACGCGAGCGTGAAACGGCCTTAGCACACTGGCCGTTGGCCGCGCCGCGGAACGGCGGGCGCCTGCCATCGTGACACTTCTCGCGAATTACCAGTGCGACGAGGAATACCCACTGTTTTTGGATGCGCCGGCAAACATGCCGAGACCGAGAGCGGAATCGGCTCTGAAACGCACCAGGTGTTTCGCCAGACGTGGACGACAGCCCAAGATCAAAGGCATCATGATCGGTACCACCGCTGCTCTTCAGAAGTACGATCACAAAAACGATGGCAAGGACAATACCGAATTTAGCAAATATGACGCCAAATGCGCGAGAGCACGCGCGGAGACGAAGGAAGACGCGTCGTGCGAGAGCACGCGCTGAAGATGTGGTATACGAGAGCACCCGAAAGCGAGAGATCAACGGATACAGCACATCGTCGTGGAGGCCCCATTGCAGCAGCAACACCACCACCACCACGACCCCCAGCACACAGCCGTCCAGCTGCAGAAATTCGCCTATCAACACGACGCCTGCGAGTAAGACAACAACGGCAGTTGCGAGTACGTCAACTACGGCAGCGACGGGTTCGGCTACACCTACGACGTGCCTGACCTCACGCTCGACTTGCTGGTTCCAGGCGCATGGCCACCAACAGCGTTTCGAGGGCCACCAGCTGAGCTGCGAGGGCATCGACCACAGCTTCGAGGGCCACCACCGCAGCTTGGTGAACCACCACCAGAGCTTCGAAGGCCACGCGCTGAGCCACGAGGGCCACCAGCAGAACTCCGAGAGAACCCCCATCCGGGCTGCGAGGGCCACCTGCAAAATTGTTTTTACCATTCGCAGGGCTGCGACGGCCACAAGACGAGCCTCGATGTCAACGCGCAGATCCACGATAATTGCTGGCGCAGACTCGACGGCCACAAGTAGAGCTACGAGAGCCAGCGAACCTCCGAGAGCCACCAGCAGAGCTACGAGAGCCACCTGCTGAGTTCCGAGGGCCATGAGCTGAGCTACGCGGGCAACAAGCAGACCTTCGAGGACCACCAGCTGAGCTTCGAGAGCCACCAGCCGCGTTATAGGCACCACCAGCTGAGCCGCCGGAGCCATCAGCAGAACTACGAGGATGACCCGTTGCATCCCGATGGCAACCAGCTGAGGTACGAGTGCCAACAGCGAGCCACGAGGGCTCCCAGCAGAACGACCAGAGCCACAACTTGACTTTCGAGAGCCACCACCAGAGCTGGGCCACCTGCCGAAGGCCATCACCAGAGCCACCAGGGTCAACAGAAGAACCACGGGGACCAGCAGACCTTCGAGAACCACCAGCTGGGCCATTAGAACCACCTGCCGAGCTGCGAAGACCACGGGCTGAGCTACACGGACAACGGGCGGAGCTTCGAGGGCCACTTGCTCAGACACTGGAACCGCCAGCGGAACTGCGAGGACCGCCCGCTGCGTTTCGAGTGCCACCAGTAGAACTTCGAGGAGCACTAGCTGAACCACCAGCAGAGCTAGGAGGACCACAGGCTGCGCTGCGAGGGCCACAAGCTCAACTACGAGAGCCACAAGCAGGGCCACGAGGGCCCCCAGCAGAGGTACCAGGGCCACCATCTGAGGTACGAGGCAGACGAGCTGAGCTACCCTGACCACCAGGTGAGTTGCGAGGGCAAGCAACTGCGCTACGAGCACCAACTGAGCTACCAGGGCCAGCCGCTGGGCTGCGAGAGCACCATTCAGGCTACGAGGACCACCTGCTGATCGACCTACAAGCTGAACTGCTTCGGCCACCAGGAGAGCTACGAGAGCCACCAGCAGAGCTCCGGCAGCCACCTCCTGAGCGACAGGGGCAACCAAAGAAGCTCAGTACGGCAGCCATCAGAAGATCGCCTACCACGCGATCCACGGAATGACGTGGATGCCGCGAAAGTTAGATCGCAGCCACCGACCCGGACACATAGGACAGATAATTCCAGCTGCGGATCCGCACCATCGAGGCCGTTCACGGGGCGGGCCGCATCTCCTACGACAGCTACCAGCAGCGCATCGCCATTGCGCACCGCTGGATGAGAGGCCTGCTAGGGCCTTACAGGGGCTATCTCATGATCTTCGTGTGAAGCCTCACGATGACGGCGCGGCCGGCCAGCCTGAAACCCAGAACACAGACACGACGGCCCACATCTAGACTAGAGACAGTCTTAGCTCATTCGACGAATATCACAATAGGCGCGACTGGCTTGCCTGAAGCCAACACCACGGACCAGGTTCACCTCGAGACCACAGCCCACGCCAACGAGAGCCACGGCGCCCAGGCCAACGGCAACAATTACAAGTCAAAACCGATTCAAAACGCGCCCGGGAAACCCTCGCGGGGCCTCACTGCTTTGGGCGAGCTGGGTACCACGACCTTTTTCCCCCCCGTCCCGTGCTGATCTCGACCTCCTCCTCCTCCTCCTCCTCCTCCTCCTCCTCCTCCTTCTCCCCCCCCCCCTCTTCCTCCTCCTCGTCCTCGACAATTACACAATATGAAAATACTTTCCCACTTCCCCTGATGGCGCCCCGAAGATATCCGACACCCCTCCGCGTGTTGTTTTTTTTACACAGGGTTCCCGGGAAACGGGTTTTCGCTTGCGTTGTTTCCAAAATGCTGCTCTCGCTGAGGCGCCGGCTTCATTTCCGCTCCCGAATCGTTCCGAATCGTGCTCCCGCTGCAGCGTGGGCCTCATTTTCGGATCGGTGTTTGGTCTCCGTCGTTCAGGATGGCGTTTTCGCCCCAGCGCGGGCCTCTTTCTCGCGCGCCCATCCGCCCGCCACCACCGCGCCGCGCCGCACCACCACCACCACCACCACCACCACCACCACCACCACCACAACCACCACCAGCACCACCAGCACCACCACCACCACCAGCACCACCACCACCACCACCACCACCACCACAACCACAACCACAACCACGCACACACGCACGCACGCACGCACGCGCACCACCACCCGCTACGCACGCGGGCGCGGAGCCACAGGTCCGCTACGACACGCGTCCGCGGATAGAGAAAATCAGCGCCATGGTAAGGGATGGGAGGGAGGGGGAGGACGTCAGATATGACGCGAGCGCACTTAGCTTGCCCTCCCCCCCCCCTCCTCCTGCTGCTGCTGCTGCTGATGGCGGGCGCGGGCCCCCCTGCAGCCACCTCTCCAGCCCCCCCCATCGCCGCGACTGGGCGGAGGGGGCCCATCAGGGAAAATGCGAGAAGGACAAAGGTGAAGAAAAGCTTTCCGATTATGGAAAATGCGAGATGAGGCGGGGGAAGTGGGGGGGCGCCCGATGCAAGCAACACAGACGGAGGGCCAAACCACCCCAATGGCGAGAAGGCAAATCCCCAGAGGAAGGAGCAGAAGAGCGGGGCAAAGAAAGGGGGGGGAGAAGGGGGGAAAAAGGAGAGGGAGGGGGGGTCGCTTCTAGGCCCTGGGGGTGGTCCGGTCGCCCGTGACACGAGGAACTCCTCGCCCCCCCCCCCCCCTCCTTCTCCCCCCCCCTCTTTCTCCTTCCGTGGCCATTTTGGCTCGAGGTGCTTTGTTCCGCAGGGAAATACGTGGACGCCGCTAGTCCGCGGCCAGCGCCAGGGCTGCTCAGCCCGACAGTTTTGTCGAGGAGTGTCGGCCTTCTCCGCGGGACGCGGGCCCCCGGCGTTGTGCATCCAGCCATGCCGAAGCTATGCCCCTGCTCTGCCTGCTCCGTGTGTGATGGATGGGTGTACGATTGGAAACTGCAGCGTTCGGGCGGATGGCGCGACAGGTGCAACGACGTCATTGGTTTGCCGAAGTGGCAAGCTCACGAGCCCCAGGAGTCGCAGCGAGCAGCCGCCACGGTGGACCACGCGTTCTCCCATGCTCACGCCAGAGCATGAGCTGGAGGCGCCCATTAAGAAGTTCGAGACGAAGAAAGGCGGCTACAAGGTGGATGTCGACCTCCAGGCGCAGCGCCACTTCAAGGACCAGGTCCAAGAGGCGGTGCCCAAGAAGCCGAAGAGTGAGTGGCCGCAGTCACTCGCGCTCAAGCAGGCGGTCAATTGCAAGGATCAGGCGCGGAAGGATCTGGGCGCGGCGA